AAATGTGTTTTTCTGTGTTTAAGTGTATAGTATAATTAGAATCTAGACTATTGTTTTAAACGCTATTTTATGTTCGTTAATGCGTTTCTTGAAGGATCTACCTGTTTGTCCAACATAAATTTTAGAAGATCCGCATTTCAAACTGTAGACCCCTGATTTTTGGGATTTTGGACATTTTGTTTTATTGTTTTTTTAAATATTTTCCTATTGTGTTGTTAGTTCTGAAAGCTATTTTTAAACCACATTTTGACAAATGTTTTGAAATTTTTTCATTAGATTCTCCTATGTATGTAATTGTTTTAAATTGTTCGTGTTGTGTATTAGGTTTCGTTTGTCTGCATTTGTTTTTTATTTATAATTTTATCTATAATGGACGAATTATAGCGGTTGTTCAGTGCAATTTGTTTAATGATATTAAGTTCTTTGTTGTAATTTTTTGTTGAGAGTGGCGTATTAAGAAGTCTGTGTATAAAAGAGTTAAATGCAGCCATTTTGTGTGTATAAGGGTGATTTGAGCTGTTATGTATGACTGTGTGCATGTGTGAAGGTTTATGATATATTGAAAAATCTAATTTGTTTTGCACTTTCGTAATAGTTAAATTTAAAAAATTAATAGAGTTATCCTGTTCAATCTCCATGGTGAATTTTATACGATTATGTAATGAGTTAATGTAATTTAAAAAAGAATTCAATTATCTGTCCGTTCCAACAAAGCAATCAAAGACATCATACACGTATCAATACCACTATAAAAAACTTTTACTTAAAGGTTGTTCTAGTATGTTATTTTCCAAATTATCCATAAAAATCTCGGCTAACAAACGACTAAGTGGGTTTCCCACAATCAAACCTTCTTTAGATACATAAACCTGTCCATTAAATTCAAAATAATGTTGGTCTAAAGATACTATTAAGCAATCTAATAAATCACATCCATAGGTGGAATACTGGGAAATAAGTTTTGTACATCAAAAGACAATAGTGTTGCGTTAGAAGGGATTTTGATATCTTTAATTTTGTTGATTAATTCAAAAGAATTTTTTATTGCAAATTTTGGTTTAAAATCTGTGTGGAACTTTAAAATATTTACTAATTTTGTAGAGAGTTTAACTGCTGGAACTGTTACATAAGGCACGACTAGTCTAATTAGAAAATATTTAAAAAACAATAAAACGAAATGTCCAAAATCCCAAAAATCAGGTGTCTACAGGTTGAAATGCGGATCTTGTCCTAAAATTTATATTGGACAAACAGGTAGATCCTTCAAGAAACGCATTAACGAACATAAAAGAGTGTTTAAAAACAATAGTCTAGATCAGTGGTTCTCAACCGCCGTTCCGCGGAACACTGGTGTTCCGCGAAGCTGTCCCAGGTGTTCCGCGAAAATTTTGAATATAATATAATAAGAAACAGTAAATTTTTTTATTACTATAAAATAAATACTACATAGTTTTGTTAATTATTTGAAATTTAGCAAAAATATTCAATATTATTCTAAATTTTCGCGGAACGGTCAATAATATTAACAGTGTAATTATCGAACGACGCAGTTACGTCGTTTGGAGTTACTCCGGGGAATACCACTAAATTTCTAGTGTACTCGATAACGCAGGGAGCGCTACGTAGTGTTGATTTCGTGCTGTTTCTCTTTCTTCGTACGTAAATAACAAAAGCGCAATTTCGATCTGCGGTTCAGCCATAATTTAATATAAATATCGAGTTTTCGTGAGTGTGTTTTTTATTGTATATATATATATATATATTTTATATTGTTGGAAATTGGTAAGATGAAATGCAAGTTGTGTAGTTTTAACAGTATTCTTATCTTTTTTAGTTGCTTATTTTAGCATTTATACAAGACTTTTAAATCTGAAATATGGACAAATTTTTGAAAAGAAAGACTGAAAGTGAGGTTAATGTTGGGGCGAGTACAAGTAGGTCTTCTTCAATTGAAGGAGATATGCAAGGCAACAAAAATGCCGAAAATAAACGTAAAAAGATATCCGAATCAGTTCGGCATTATTCGGAAGAATATCTGAAGTTTGGTTTTACATGGAGCGGTAGTCAAGATGTTCCTATTCCGAGATGTATTGTATGTGGTGAAAAATTGGCTAACAGTGCAATGGTCCCAGCTAAGTTACAGCGACACCTTTCAACAAAACATTCTTGTCTAACTTCGAAAGGTAAAGATTATTTCGAAAGATTGCTGAAAAATGAAGAAGTGCAAGCAACATGCTTTCGAAAGAGCGTTACAATTTCGGATAAAGCGCAAATCGCTTCTTATAAAGTGGCAGAACTAATTGCATTGAAGCAAAAGCCGCATGATATCGCAGAATCGCTAATTTTGCCCGCATGTTTAGAAATTGTTAAGATTATGTTTGGCAATGAAGCGCAGCGAGACGTCCTAAAAATTCCCGTTTCGGACGATACGATAAAAAGAAGAATTATAGATATGTCAGGTTTTATAGAGAACGCAGTGACGGCGAAATTAAGTACAAAAAATTTTGCGCTGCAAATTGACGAATCCACTGACATTAGTGGCAAAGCCCAATTAATCGGATTTATTCGCTTTGTTGACGACACTGAAATAATAAATCAGTTTTTATTCTGCAAGGAACTTATTGGTCACGCAACTGGAGAAGACATATTTAATTCAGTATCATCTTATTTGGAAGAATGGATATTATCCTGGGAAAATTGCGCAGGAATCTGTACTGATGGAGCTCCAGCCATGCGTGGCAGTATTAAGGGATTTTGTAGTCGAGTTAAAGCAATAAATTCAAATATAGTCTCTACTCACTGCTTTCTGCACAGGGAATCTTTGATTTCGAAGAGTCTACCAGCAAACTTAAAGTCTGTTTTGGAACAAGTCGTACATATGGTGAATTATATTAAATCGAGACCATTAAAAACCCGTATGTTCAAACAACTTTGTAACACCATGGAATCCAAATATGAATGTTTGCTTTTGCACTCTGAAGTGAGGTGGCTCTCAAGAGGAAAAGTGCTAACCCGAGTTCATGAGTTGAAACAGGAATTGCTAGTTTTTTTTAGACAAGAGGGTAATGATGTATACGTAAAATATTTGGAAAATGATGCATGGTGTACTAAGCTAGCATATTTAGCCGATATCTTCAGCTACTTAAATTCAGTCAATACATCTCTTCAAGGAAAAAATGAAAATATTCTGACATCCACAGACAAATTGCTAGCTTTCCAGAAAAAGCTTTTGCTTTGGAAAAATCGTATTGCTCAAAATCGCAAATTTGATATGTTTCCGTTATTAGCAACGGAAAATATTGTTAACATTAACGAAATGATTTCAAATGTGGCAGAGCATTTGTCAATATTGCAAGACAAAATAACTCATTACTTTCCATCTCTTAATATTGAAGACTTTGATTGGGCGCGAAATCCATTTGGTGAATTTGATATAATGAACCAAGATTTTTCTATTCAGGAAGCAGATGAGTTTATTAATATATCAACGGATCGAACGTTACAACTAAAATTCAAAGAAGAAGGAGTGGAAAGGTTTTGGATTTCCATCGAGAATGAACATCCATTTATTGCAAAACGAGCGTTGAATATCTTGTTGCTCTTTTCGACGTCCTATCTGTGCGAACTTGGATTTTCAACTCTAACAAATATTAAAAGCAAAAAAAGAGAAAGACTTACCAATTTAGAAGAAGAAATGAGAGTAGCGCTCTCTTACATAAGACCCAACCTTGAGGAAATTTGTAAAGGTCGTCAAGCGCAAATTTCTCATTAAAATAAGTTACCATGTAATATATATCTTTATTTCAATTAAATATTAATCTTCCAATTATTTTGTGTGATTTACATTAGACTTACAAATTTTATGATAATGGTGTTCCGCCAAAATCGAGACCACTTAAAAGTGTTCCGTGATCCCAAAAAGGTTGAGAGCCACTGGTCTAGATTCTACTTATGCTACACACTTAAACACAAAAAAACACATTTTTGACAATAATTTTGATAGTTTACATACAGCCACAAAAAGTAGAAAATTAAATTTATTGGAAGCCATGGAGATTAACAAAATGAGACATGCAAATGTATTGGTTAACGATCAATTAGATTTAAACACCTCTCCTTTATTGAACTTAAATTCTCACAACTTTAGTTAAGGTTTTATGGTCATTTTTCGGTATATATAGTAGCAGGTAGTTTGTAAATATTACATTTGATAAAGACACGGTGTTGTCGAAACAATTGTCATGCCAAAATATATAATTTCGTGAAAATCTAAACTTTTAGTTCTTATTTATTTTGATAAATGGATTTTCATCAAGTAAAAGCCACCTCAGTTCAATATTCTGACATTTGTCAGGTCAGTAAATGAATTTCTGTGTTTTGTAAACATGTACTGAAAAGCCAATGGGCGTAGAAAAACAGGTTGAGAAACTACTTCAGTTTTATTTTAAAGACGTAATTTTATTTATTGGATTGTGGTTTGTCATTTAGTTTAATTAACCATACTTTTTAATTATTGGAGTACGAGTTTTTGACCTTTCTCGACTAAAGAACGATTTCTTTAATCGAAATTTAAATAGGCGTATTGAGTTAGTTTTTTATTTTTATTTCATTTGGTAGTTTTGGACAAAGGATCTCTCTGCTGGTGAAGTTTTGCTTTTAGGTAGGGAGCTTGTTATTGCTTTGTGTCCTGTGCTATGATTTTGTAATATAGCTGGTATAGCTGTCCTTTTTCTTATATCGTCGCATTGTTATACTATCCACAATTATTCAACATTTCAAATATGGTTGAACAGGTGCAAAATACAAGTAGGACCCTTTAAAATATTTGTATTGCAGTATTAATAACAACCACAGAGCATAACGGTTTGAAGATGATCGTTAAACTATTACATACGTATTATTAAAGTATAATGAATAAGAAAGCATTAATTTCAAAGATTAAAAAACAATCAGCTAATGTTTTTGCGTGCATTCAAAAAATATATTTCATGGTTACTTACTCATTGAGGCCCAATTTTAGGGTGTCTTCGGAGTTCTTTAGTAGAGCGTGGGACTCGCTGTTGGATAGATTTTTCGTACTTTGACCGTTGATCGACGTTATCAAATCTCCTTCCCTGACTCCCCTTTGCGACGCCTTACTGCCTGGATTGACCTGGAACGACGAGGTCGTAAATTCCTGAACCCGTTGACTACTTAAACGCACACTAACCAAAAACTCGCGCCTTTTTCCGTACGGAGAACAGAATTTCAACATTTTTCAACTAAATTCTCTTAATTTCACTTTCAGATAAAGATGTCGCGAACGATTGTCAACTTTCAACCGCACTTGATCGACGCGTCTTAGCCAATGTATTGAAAGGGGGTGTATTGTATACCAAGACGTTATGAGTCTGTAGTCTGTTCTGCATTGCTTTGCGCTTAGTCGTTACATCATATAAGCACCGTTTCCTTATCAATGGAAAGTGGCACTACTATCTATTTTGGCCAATATTCACCGAATATTTCAAGAGTGTTGAAAATTAAAAATGAATTTCTTTTTTACAATGACAATGTCTATTACTATCGACTTAAAGTTTGAAAATATCATTTTAAACCGACACGTCCAATGTCAAAATGATCTATTTATAAAGGCAAACAAAATCATTGCTTGAAAACAGCCCACTTCCAGCCTTTTTAAAAGTCGTTATTTGTTTGTTATTTGAAGCAATTTTGACTTCGACTACAAAATCAAAAGTTTACAAAAGTGCATTTGTTATTTCTTGGATTTTTTGTGTGTTTTTTTAAGTTTGAATAAAATGCATTCAAATTTTCTTACGTGGGCCTTTGTTTATATATTTTTTTCTATCAAATGGAATTACTGTTTTAAATTGGTTAAAAATCTTCGGCCAAGAGCATTGAAATCCAAAATTTCATACCTAAAATTTCCCAAGTTTTATCACCATTTTATTTTAGTTTTCTATACTGTAACAAAATAAAAAAAAAAAAAAATCAACAACATTGTGACACAAATGTATACTGGGCGAAAAACGAAATAGTAAAATAGAAATATCTGAAAAAAATATTTTTGCAAATAACATTATATATTGTTTCTAACTAAACGAAATGAAAGAGCGCACACGCGGCTAATTGATACATTGATATATTTGTGAAAAAAACAAGTTAGAAAATATTTATTCTAACTTAGTTTTTCTGCTCAGTATACTAATTTTTTTTATATAAAAATCGCAATTTTTTTTGCAGTTCTTTGAATAAGGTTTTTGAAGTGGTATAAATTATCCGGAAGAACCAATAATTATTCGTCAAAGAAAATTAAAATATATTTTTTTATATTAGAATGTCAAAATTGCAAAAACCTTTTATATAAAAATAATATTAGTATTTACACTATACAAGATTTCGTTCAGTCAGGAACTGTTGTGTAAGTTTTCTGTAAATATATAAATTATTTATCGAATCACCCTATATGAAAAGATAAATCAATGTTCCCCACATTAATAGAAACATTTTGTTCACCGTTTTGACTATTTAAATAACAACTATGAAATATAATCAAGACTTTAAGATATACAGGGTGTTACAAAAATATAAATTTGTTAACCTTTTTTTTATGGCCAAAATAATGAAAATTGTTTCGTTTTCAACACACAAGGTGTCAAAAAAATACTTTTTAGAACTTTAGAACTTTAGAAAGTTGGTTCATATTGCACATTTATCTAAACTAAGTTTCTATATGCAGGTAACTCAAAGAAGTAATGAAAAAAAGGGGGCAGTATATTACCGCTTGAATTTTGATTTAAAGCTTCCCTTAAGAGTTACTTTTATTTATCCGACCCAGTATTATCAATTTCTGAGGGAATAATGCAAATTTCTTTTGTTGTCTTTTATTTATTTAAAAGACACAATTAATGCTTAACATTTTTAATTACGTAAAATAATAAAAACATCATTTGTAAACAATCTGACATTTTAAAAAGTTTTAAAAACTTTGATATTCTGTATATCGAAAAGATGTTCAAATAGAAGGTGACGAAACGCCTATTTCGCTCAGTATTAGGGAATTGTTTTATATTTCCATAAGCGGTTATATTAAATCCAAAATTTGTTTGTATGGATGGGCTGCTTGCAATGAAAATAGTTGTTATTATACGGGTTACCTCACAGTGTCTCAGCGCCCAACTTACTTATTTTAAATGAAAGTCCTGTTATATTACTGATTTTTTTTATTTCTAAGAAAATTTCTTGGTAAGTTTTCTTTAAATTTTCTATGCCTATAGTTTCTTAACTATTTTCAAAATTTTTCAAAATTGTAACATTGTAGACCATTGTAGACCATTGCCCCTATTTTCCAAGGTCGTCCAGTTATTTTGTACAAAACGCTGTTAAAATTTGACATGTCTTCAGACGGTTCGTGAAGCTAAGTGTGTGTGTGTGTGTGTGTGTGTGTGTGTGTGTGTGTGCAAATAACATGATGCACTTTGAAGATAGGCATATCTAATCGATTGGAATCGATAGAATTGAATTTTGAATCACACCATGCAATAATATATAATTCGTAGTACTAAAAGCAAAAACTTTAAACGTTATTGTATATAAATTATTGGTATTAAGTATTTTTCTTCTTATTACGCCTTCCCTGCCGAAAGTTGGCTATCTATATGGCTATTTTTGTGGGAGAGCATTTGAACCATCTTCCCAAATCGTTTACACATTAGTTTTTTGTGTTTTATTATGGATATTTTTCCCTGCACTTTGCCTTCAATTATAAGTTGTAGAAATTGAAATTTGTGACCTTTCCTTATATGACCCAAAGACCGTGCCTTTCAGTTCAGGCAACATTTTTGCTTTTTTTTTTTCACGGATACCTGGCAAAAATAAGACTCGGTTAGAACTGGCTATTGCGGAAATTGAAACCATACTATTTGTTTACTTGCATTGCTTGTTGATTTTGTATTTTGAATTTAAGTAATTAATGTTTAAAAAAAACTTTGCTAGAATAGGATATTATACAGGTTTAATTAGATTTAAAATAAAATACAGAAGTTGTTGCAGAAAATTGGCTACAACTTCTGCACTATCAATTTTGGAATAAAAGCTATATATATGAAATGATACACAATTAAATCCCAACCACTTCCATAATCAAATTTACGAATTTTAGTTTTCAAATGGAAAAAAAGAAAATTTTCCAAATACCATTTTTCTCAAACACTACTCAGCATTCTGTATGCTAAGTAATGACAAAAAAAAAGCGAACATTTAGAATTTTTAAAAATATTAAAAAAAAGTTGGTTACTGTCCAGTCATAACACATAAGAACACTACAAATAAAATATTTAGTTAGGGTCAAACACTTTTTTAATTTACCTCAGTATCGTACTTATTGGAATAAGTTGTGACCACCCTGTATCTATTATTGTTAATTGGTGCTCTATTAATTTTAATTCCGCGCTGAATTCCTTCCAAAGCTACAAGTTAAAAAGCAACGGTGATAAGACACACGCTTGTCTGACACTCCGTTTGATCTTTATCTCTTCTGATGTTTTTTGCTCTGAAAATTACATTATTAGGTGTAAGGCGTTCCATATAAAATAAGGAAGTTAGATACGTACGCGATACCCTGTATTATAGCAACCATTTATATCGCATGCAGCAAGCAACCCTTGTATTGGATTGATGTACTTTTTAGCAACACCCTGTATGCGGGGAGTCGCGAGTGCAAAGGAAGTCGAAACGGACTAAATTTGGTATTCATAAAAGGCGTCAAAGTGGCCACGAACCACGAGAAACACTTAAAATGCAACAAGTTAGTCTTTGTGCTGGTAGTAAAAAATCGGTCGTTCCACAAGAGGGTCACAGAATTTTAAAGACGATTGGCCCATTGTTTTGGCGGCACAACGTATTCGTTGTCGGGTGTATTCGTTATACTCCACGTCTCTATTCAAATAGAGAAATGTATCGCGTAGTGTTTTAAGCTACCGCATCGCAGCGTCACGCACGCACACGTCTCTGATGATCCCGAGCGGACTGAGGTCGCGTCGCTCTTCTTGCTTTTTGTATTTGGGAAATTTGATACGTCGATTTTAAAAAAATGTGTCTGTATTTTGTACGCCCTACTGTTATAAGATCAGATTTCATGCGGCGTTATCCGCTCGATTTTCATCGACCCGTTGGAGCGTGTAAATCGCCTGGTATTCATACCGGGTGGAAGCCTAATCTTTAGATAGTATATTCCCGTCCTGCCTTCATCACTTTTACTGTGATGACACTCAAGGCCCACTTGTTTTGTCCAAACGCTTAATTTTGATTTGCCTGCAAGTTATTGGGACAAAAGGGGCTAATTAAGATGTTAAGATGTTGGTTATGGTTATACGAAAAGGTTTATTCAATTCAAAGATTTATGAATAGAGAATATTATGTTGCATGTACAATGTTGTATGCCCATTTTTTTTCCATAATTTGTTAAATATTTTGTAGCAATGGTAAGAAAAAATGCAGTCTCGGATGACTGATTTCAATATTGGTGACAGGTAGAGACCTGAGTCGCGCTTAAGATTATTAGGTTGTTTATAGATTTCTATAGACTAAATTTAATTTCCGGTTTCGTGATTGTGTTCGGCAACCACTCATGAATTTATTTGTCTTAGTCTTAAGGCTCTTTTATGTTCTTTGAGCCTAATTGATATTTTTCGACCGGCCTCTAAGCACTGAATGCTGTAAACTACTGCCGTCTCAAACGGAATTTTGTCTTTGTCGGATCGAAGATGTTGAGAGATTTTTGGACAAGTGGTAAATCTGGTTTTGACGTTATATTTCTTTAGAACTTTTGATATGATGTTTTGAATATAAGGACAACAGTGGCTTTCGGTTTCATTGCCATTAGAAGGTTCTGGTGAAGTGTATCTTGCGATGGAACTCTTAATATCTTTAATGGTTAAATTATTAGAGAGAAGAGCAGAGGTAAGGTGTTTTAATTCTGGGTTCAATAACTCGGATTGAGATAGTTTTACGGCTCTGTAAACAAGAGAGTTGATAACCGACGATTTTTGGGCCGGATGGTGATGTGACCATGCATGTGTGCGTAGGTTTTCTGTAAACATAATGACCTAATGTTAGGTCTGATTTTCAATTGATAATATATCTGAAATGATGGTG